AAGGAAGGAAGGAAGGAAGGAAGGAAGGAAGGAAAACTTCTAAAACATAGATGATCTTTCAAAAGCAAAGAGAAGCATCTGAGGTTGTGGTTCTCTCACTTTTTTCTCTAAAGAGACGTGGAAAAATGCTCTAGAGTTTAGAAAATTTAGCTCCCACAAGATAATTAAGAAAAAAGCAAAACAAAATCTCATTTGATTTACTAAGTACTCTCTTAAAAACAGTTTGAGTACAGACCTAATGGTGATGAATTTTTAAGGAATATCCCAAATTAATTGTTTACTTCATAGATCTTTTTTTTTCTTTTTCCTGCATTTCAGGCTAAGCAAAAAACTCATTAATTAGTGATGTGTCTAAACAAAACACTTTACTTTGAAAAGTGAATTGGAAAAGTAAATTATCAACTCAGTATTTTCTTGTGTGCAACTTAAGTACCACAGAAACAGTTTTCTCAGTTTCCAAATATTTGTTTGGTAGCTACCACTCTTCAGTGTTAATCTGCTCAAGAATCAAGGGATAATGTCATCTACCTGTGTTTCAGGTGCTGAGCAGCTCCACAGAATGATGTTTCCTTGATCCTGGAAAGGAAACTGCCCTGATATGTTCTGACTTGCCACTCGTTCTAGTTTCATTGCTCACCCATCTGCCATAGTGGCATTTTGCCCAATTCATTGGAAGGGATGCCAATTTCAGGCAGGCTTATGTGCCAACAAATATAGCTGTAGAGGGATAATACGTAGGATGAAAACATGACGCCTTCTTTAAAAAGAGATAATCTTAGTGGTGAGCAATGCTAGATGAAAAATGCATGCCGCCACACAGGACAACACACCTGCTGACGTGTTTTAATTATACACAGCTACCTCTTCTTGCAAAATTCATTTCTGTTTGGAGAAAGAGAAGTGTGTTCAATGTTAATCAATGGGTCTTACAGTGTTTCCCAATGCCTCCCAAAGTCAGAGGACAAAGAGGACCTTCAGTGCTTATACAGGCAAAAGCTGTGGTTATCCAGGATTCTATTACCTAGCCAGGCCTGCTGGGCTCATCCACTGTGTTCACTTTGTCCTGGAAGGGACAGCTGCTGCCCAGGCCATTCCATATGGAGTCTGAATCAGTTTTTTGCCACTCTGCTCATGCTTACTCCCCTGTAGTTTCCTAATGGGAGATTTCTTTTTCTGAACATGCAGCCATCAAAGAGGGAATTAATTGTTTGAACTCCCAAGAACTAGGAATTAAAGCAGCCTCCATAAATAACAGTGTTTCCCCATCCACCTACCTAAGCTTTCTGCTGTAATTAATAGACAAGCATTCAAATTTAATACCAAAACCTCCAGCAAGGCAGGCTGAGATCACCTGGCAGGAGAAACTTACACATATTGTATTAGCACAGGCTCATGTGCTACGTTTTGCCACACCATCCTGACACAATGGTAGTGCAGGTCTCGTGGCCAGGTGGGCCATTATGCACACCAGGGTGCTTCCACACCGGTGGCACTGGGCAGAGAGCTGGAGGGCAGTAGCATCTCATGGATGGTGCCACAAAATCTGGTCAGAGTTAAAGCATTGCTGGTGTTCAGTTATGCCTATGAAAAAGCCTGCCTTTTCAAAACGCACCCTGCAATGCTAGTCAGTATTTCTGAAATGAAGAGCTGAGAGTGAGCTGAGAGTGGAGCCAGGGGCCACGGGCTCTGTGCAGCTGTGTGTAGTACTGTGAAGACACAGCTATATCAGAGCAGACGATGCCACAGCTCACAGGGTGTAAGCACTGAATCAGTGATCAGTTCCAGCAGCGCAGAAAAGTTGCAGAAATTCATTAAGGGATCTAATTTACTTTTCACCCTTTTCCAGGTGTCTCATTTAATGTATTTAGATTAAAGTGACTTTTGCAATCAAATTTCCACTGAAAATAGCTTATAATGAATTGTAAGGTAAACGTGAGAAATCTCTGGAAAGTAAAGGAAAAAAGAGGTTCTTTGTGTTTCATAAGCTGGCACGCCACCCTGCTTCCCCTGGCAAACTCACAGAGCCCTTTTGATTGATCTATGCTATGTTATTAGTAGAGATAGTGGGACCGTTTCCATCCAGATCATATTTCAACAGAGTCCTGATAGGCTTTATTATTATCAAAACAGAGTTTGTTTATTTTTCTCCCATCAAACATGCTTGTTCTCCAGGAGGCAAAGATCAGTGCAGTGAAAAACCTCACATTTCCAAAATGTATCTCAAAAATGAAGTGTTCTGCGCTGCTTTGTTTTGTTTTGATCAGAAAATGTCAAGAAAAATAACCTTTGAATCCCCTCACAGCTATCACATCATACTGTTCCTCACTGGTCCCACTCAACTGACCCATGCCTGCCACAGCAGCTGCCAGTGGGCATGATTTGGCAGGCAGATCCCCCAGCAGCACTCTGCTTATCCCCAGCCCTGTAGTCCTGTTCCTGCTCCACAACAGATATGTGCTATTCCCCATGATCTGTAACCAAATAGAGATCACATCAGATTACATTTCCCAAACACAAAGGAGGCTTTCTCTTCCAAACTCTCTGCGTTGTTCTTGGATGGCATCTCAAACTAATTCATTGCCGATATTCTCAAGCACTACAGTGATAATGGGTGCAATTAGGTGTATTTCAAAAATATGTGATGTCCAAAAGGCACCTGGTTGATTCAAGAAGTATTTCAGTTGATTTGGCACTTATTAGGGAAAGGATTAAGATAGGTGAAACAAGCAGAGAACTCCACCATATTCTGCTACTTGGGCTCCACCATGTTGCTGCAGAGTGGTTACAGGGTTCTGTTCACACACAGAGAAATTGTGAAGGAACATCACTGCTTCATATTCGATTAGCAGGAGAGAATTTGAATTTTACATTAATTTAGGCAAAATTAAAGCCATAACAAAAGAAATGTTCCTGTCACATTATAAATGTGGAAGAATCTTGTATTTTTTTCTCTGTCTATCAGCTACCATGATGGAAAAGGCTAAGAAGACATCCAGACTAAAAAATAAAGCTAAAAAATAAAGCTGTGCTTTCTGTAATCTCTAGAAGCAGTATTCTATCTATTTCACAAAATCCAAGGATCAATTAAGTTCACTTTCCTGGGGTTAAAAGAAATAGTGCAATGATATTTGGCCATTCTAATAAAACAATCTGATATAATCTAATGACTGGTTTAAGAAATCAGCTGTTTTACTTCCATTTAGCTCCTGTCTCTAATGAAAATATTTATGTGTGGGCTGGGAACTGACATTCACACTATAGGCTGACCTTGGCAAAACACATACAAATATCCACGTAAGCCCCAGAATTCACAAGCTTATACTTTAGCTTTTATATTCTATTCATTTATTTCTAGATTAATATGAGCAAATTTTGAAGGATTTGTGTGTAAATTTCCAAGCTGAGAAAAAATTTTTACATGCTGATTTTTCAGAAAATGAAATAAAGTGTGCAGAAATTTACCTAGACAAAAAATAACCTATCCGTGGCCAATAAGATAGAAGACTTCTGAACAATAGTTTATAGACGGCATTCAGAAATTAGCAATTAATCTTCAGAAATTATTTAAATAAAAAATGCAAATAACTATCATTGGCACATTAGAATTAGTGAATGCAGTGACAATTGTAACTAAATAGAAATGTCTACTGGAGTAAATAGATATTGCTACACAGAATAAAACATATTCATGTGATTTTAATGCTTAATGCTATTTTCTGCCTCAGTTATTGAATGTTTTCTTGTGCCACAGCTTTGTAATGATGAAAGGATCGCATGCCTTGATGTTTCATATTTTCATATGTGGATTGGGTAGGGATAGGAAAATGTGATCCAGGCAACTCACAACAGTGCTTGCCAGAAAATGAGGAAATTATAAAGAAAGGATAGCACTCAAAGGTAGATGTATCTGAGCATCAACCACAGTTACTTGCTTAAAGCTCTGTGTTCATATATGAGTATGTATCATAAAAATACATGAAGGTTTTGGCCTATAAACTTATCCAAAGTTTATGATTAAATATAATATGTCAGTTGCAATAGTTGCAATGCAATATAGTAATTAAGACATATAATGCAATTTTATTAAAACAACAACAACAACAAAAACCCAACAACGTGCCATGAGGATTTGGTCAGGTCGTTTTCCCTAAGTCAAACAGATGCTGATGAATGTGCATAGCTTCAAATAGTATCTAAATCACTGCTAGGCCAGATGTGAATACAGTGCACACTAATTCCACATATATATCCTCTCTGAAAGGATTTGAGTATTTCCTTCCTTCAGCACATAGGGAGGGAAAAGAAAGAGAACAGGTTGTTTTTTTTTTTTTTTAACTTCCCTTTAACTTTCATAATATTAAATGCTGAAAAACTTACTGACCCTTGGAGGGTTTGAAGGTCCAACGCTAAATTTTTGAGTTTCTTTCTCACATTAATCATTTAAGACTGGATTCTCCCTCCTTTATTTGCCAATTATTTATTCCTTACCCTCACTGAGCATCACAGAAAGCAAAATTCATATCAGCAGTTAGTGCAAATGATCATAAATTCTTTAGAATTCATAGAATTCACCAATTTACATCACCAGAATATATCTCCCATCTCTGTACACAGTGCAATGTCCTTTTTACTCAGGATAGTAAAGGTGTGAATACTAAACATGTTTGCAGAACTCTAATCAGTGCAGAGGAGAATGACAAGAGGTTGGGGTTAAACTGATTTGCTGATGTCTGCTAAGATGGTCTGTAGTAAGGAAAACAATTACTTTTTTTTTTTTTTTTTTTTTCTGACTGACCCAGACAGGTGAATGTATTGATGATCTGGTAATGAGCACTTTGAGCAATTATGACTGACAATAAGAGAAAAAATCTCAATCTGCAACATTTGAAATTACCATTTGCCATTCAGCCAATTGGCTTCTGATGCTCTAATTTCATAACAAGCCTTGGCAACCTACTGCAAATTTGTTTATTGGGAACAGTTACAATTTTTCCAGATGCCAAGGTAACCCAGTCTTCATCTTGCAAAGCACCAGAATCAGACTTAAGTCCCCCAAATGGCAGGAATAAGAATGTATCATTTCACTGTAGTGTGTCACTACATTTCATGTAGTGTGTTATCTTTTATTTCCTCATCACAGAATCAATTAGTTTGTTAAGCAACCTTGACATCCACACACAAGGCAGTGTTAAAATGAATGCATCTAAAGTGGGATCCACTAACATTTTTACCCTGCACTTATTCCACAGTGGTGCCCTAGGCTTCACAATAACTTCTTTAGCTCACTGTTCTGTCCTGTTTGTTGTAAGCCATTCAGGTTTATGGTGGCTGATGCTTTTCTATCTTATGGACTTTATCATTATGCAACTGTTATTGCATCATGCTGTAGGCAAGCAAAAGAGAAAAGAAAAAATGTAGAAAAAAAGAGAAAAAAAAAGATTGTGTGCTGTTTCTCACTCAAAGGAGAATCTTTGATTATTGGAAGTGCTAGTTGGAAGCTAACAGAGAATTCAGAAATACATTTCACAGAATCAGAAAATTATTTATGCTGGAAGGTGGTGGTCATGGAGTCCAATCCTTTGCTGAAAGCAAGTCTAATTAGATAAGATACTCAGGGCTTTGTCCAAAAGAGTCTTCTCTTACCTTTCCCCTAAAGCTGTTCTGGACAGCCAATATTTTTTGCTGGATTGTGTAAATTTGCAGATTTGCTAAAGCTTGCAGGACATGTGTCATCCCAGAAGAGCAGGGAAAATTACCTCACCTACTAGCTATGGCCCACCTCAATACCATATTCCCATTTATATACAAAATTGAAAATCATCTCTTCTTTTTCTACAAATTCGATTCTGTGTACAGCTAATGCAAAAGCAGAAGAGGTTACTCCTATGCACAAGCATGAGAATTTATTCATGAATCTACTGCTGAATCTTGGCTTTTGCTCTGCATCACTGGATTGCATAGCATCCTTGCATCGTGCAACTTGAAGTTGCTCATTACGGACATTTAACTTTCCTCATGTCGCAAACAGATAAAATTTACATAAGAAATAGAAGCAGTGAGAAATGTCATTTTCCACATTATCTGTGGAACCATGAAAAATATAACTTCTCTAAATCCTCGTTTTAGAATGCCCTTGAGAATTGTGTGTCTGTGTTTGTGAACAAAGACTAGGGAATGCATCACAAACAACCATGTGGAAGAGTTCCCTTTATGGTCAAAAAAGGGATATTCATGAAAGCCAAACGGTCACAGAGGCACACAAATCTTACAGCAAGATCTCTGATTTGCCAAGTTTTCCTTTGTGGCCATGCATGCAAACAACTGGGGATTTATTAAATAAAAAAGTATGTACGCTCAGTTTGGCTTTCTGATTTCAAGAAGCTGCATAAGCAACAAAGCTTTCAGAATAAAACTACTCATAATTAAAGAAAAAGTATGAATACATTATAGAAAGAAAAGAATCAAATTAAGTGTTAAAACACAGATAAGCATCTCTGGGAATCCCCATTCAATTTAACTCCCAAAGGAGAACTAGCACTTACAAGAAAGTATAGGGTTATTAGCTACCATATGAAAGCATTTTTAGAAATTACTAATTTCCTATAATTATTTTAATCAGCCAATTTTTCAAATTATTCACCACCCATCCAATGATAATGGAAGGTAGCAGGTGTGCCTTAAATTATGTCTTAAAATTGAGGCTAGAGACCTAAATCAAAGCCCATCAAAGTTAATATTAAAAAAATCCCTTTGACTTCATTAAGCTTTGACAGAGCCCAGAAGTCAACACAGTCTACCTCTTAGTGGTGAATTTTTGCAAGTGTGTGGCAGTTACTGCATTTTAGGGCCTTTGTGAAGTGGTATCAAGAGGGGCAAGAAAAGGATACTCTACCCCAATTTCTCTGCAGGAGATGTTAAGGCTTTGGGCACTATACCTAATTCAGTTTAAAGCTGGAATTGCTGAGTGTCTTTAGAAGAACTGTCTTCAGGTTTTAGTTTTTACTTAAGGCTATGCTTTACGAAAGGCATTCAGTCTGTAGCTCTTTTGTGATCAGCGTGTGCTGGTTTGTACTTGTGAAAGAGCAGTTATACTTGGGTTAGACTGTTTTTCTTTAATTGTTAGATCCAATCCCAGCTTCAAAGTGAATTTGATGATATGGCAGTTAATATAAAAAAATATGTTAATAATTGTCAAATAGCCAATAATAATAACTAACCTTTAACAGTGGATAATCTTTTCATTAAGATACCTGCTGCAGCCAAATCTTTATTTATTGTGCTTAAATGTTTTGAGCAACATCTTCTTTCTATTCTGCAGTTAATTTTGCTGTTCAGGTGTGCCATATGCACAATAAAATAGATGCCTGTTTTTTAAAAGGATCCTTGAATGAAATAAACACATTGAGTATTTAAAAGAAAGGCTGGGAATTTTATCTCAAATTCATGGTCAGCACGTGTAATTTGTTCTTACAGTGCTAATGGTGATAGATTTACTGTAGAAATGCTAGTTCTGAAAATATGATAGGAATGCATTAATTATTATAATTTTAATATCTACAGTAAGATGGAATTTTACCTTGCTTCTAGAATGGTCTTCTGCAAAAGAGAGAAGCTCTGAGCCATTTCAGTTGTTACAGATATCAGCCAAAAGAGAATGGGAAGGCAGTCATTTCCTTAATCTATGGTTAAATATCTGTTATGAAATGTGCTAAAGAGGACAATTCCTCAGGTGGATAAAGGATTTTGACAAGACTGTCCTGCTGGAAGGATACTCAGTCACTAGAATTATCTTTAATAAAATCAGCCACCAAGGGATAAAGCTGCATTTCTAAAATGTCAGTTCATTTTGCGATGCCTAAATGGGTCATCTCAGGCACTAATTATCTTTCATTCAGAACAATTTACATTCTCTTTTGAACATTATGCCTCTTCACTGGATTTCTTCAATCCATTTTGTTACTGGATCCCAATTACACACCAGGCTTTCCAGATTAATCTGTTTGTTGGGTTTGTTACTTCATCTCTGGAGTACTGTGATGCAGCCAGGCAGTGCTGTAATTTGTTATCTGTCAAATTATTGTAGGGAACTCTTATAGAAAAATATGCTCTCATTTGTGACTTCTCAGTGCAGAGCAGTGTCCCCAGAAGGCCAGGATCATGTACACAAGGATCTCAGGTAAAGTATCTCAGCCTTAGCAACGGGCATTCTTATCTTATTGTCCCTGAAACTGTTTACACAGAATCAATAAAACAAAGTTTAGCATCAGCAGAAAAAAAGGACCCATAAGGCTTGAAGAAAAAACTTACTCATGTACTGTAAAATCTATCCCAGGGCAGCAGCTCAGCTTAACTGCTGAGAAAGAGAGTACCACAGTTTTACAAGGAGTTCAGTTGGCCAACACTTTCAGTTCAGTTAAGTCGAAAACATGCACCATATTGTCAAGAGTTAACCCTACCTCCCAAGGTAGCTGAGAGTAGGAAGTGTGTCCCATATTTCTTGATCAGGTTCTCTGTGATCTGCTGAAGCGTTGGGCGACGTCCTAGTAGCCTTATGTTACGGAAGAACTCAGGGGCAAGTGGCAGTGGGGAGCCAAGAAAATTGCGTCTTTCAACAGCAAGATTGTTTACTTTCCAGCGGCCAAACTCTCTGCAAAGGAAAGTAATTCTCATTCAGAAATATGTCATTCAGACAAATGCCTTCATTTGCAAACTACTCTGCTTCCTCGACTAGCTGGAGGCAACTGGCTGGGTATTACAGCAAGGCTTGACAGCGACACTCTGTCATGTGTTATAAGCATAGGACAAGCAACAAGTGTTATTTATTAGAAGGGGAGGAAGTGCTCTGTTACAAAACCATCGTTTGGAAAAATAAATAAATAAAAATTGAGGGCGCTCCTCTTCCCATTTTTCCTGTTTATTTCCTGGTGTGACTATAACCCTAGAACAACCAGATTTGCACTTAGGTACATAGTTGGCTACTTCAAACAATGTACAGAAACACTATTACAATACGTTTTCAAAAGTTTTCTGTACTTTTGTTCTCTATTCAGAGTAAATATGCAGATTGCAAGTCTGATTCCTGAAAACAGATAACTTCAGCCAAAGGAGGGACAAAAATGAATTTAAAAAACGTTCCCCTTCCCCTCTGCAAGATACTTCAGTCAGAGCAGGGAAAACAAACAAGTCAATTACACAGTAATAAACACATCTTTTATTCATTTACTTACCAATTAAGCTACCAGATACTTATTAGCAGAAGAGCTCATTGCTTTCAACTTAGCTAAGACACTTAGCACCTGTGTTACCCTTGCTTTTGCGAGGTACTCTATAGTCTCTTTTGGCTGCAGACTGGAATACTGTGAGAATTAAGTCCAAGGCAACCTTTGGACTGCGGTTTAGCTACTGCTTTCTCAAGTCCTTTGTAAAGCATGTCAATTAAGATTTGTCCTCAGATAAGACTGTAGGAAGGCAAATAGATTAGAGAGCTTAAAGATCCTACTGAAGGTCCCAGCTAAATATAGTACAATATTCATTTACACAATTAACACAAAAGACAAAAATCAAGTTTGCAGCTAGGAAATAAATCTGAGAGATATTTGAAAAAAAGCAATTGCATAGGACTGAATGAATAAAATGAGTTATGTAATATTTAAACACTTTTTTTTCTGTATTCAGTACTTTAAAATTCACATGTATGAATGAGAACCAAATTAATACAGTTTTGTGTAGTCCTAACATACAGTAACATACTCTTGTAGATCCAAAATGCCTTTTCACCAGGGTAGCCATACACACATAACAGGCAATAATTTGGTGCAGCTATTTCATAGGTCTTTTTTGTTGGTTTTGTGGTGGTGGTGTGTGGTCATTTTGTTTTGTTTTTAATTCAGTTACCATTTTTTAATGCTTTGTTCTCATAAATTTATTTTCATTGTAAGAATCCAGAAATCTAATAATCTCTTTTTTCATCCTTTATGGAACTACAGCATATTAGTAGGAATAGCTGAGAAAACTAAAGCAGAAATATTTTTACCTTTAAAATATAAGGCTAACAGTTGGTCATAGTGACTACAGTAATGCAGTAAATACAGTGTATTAACTTGAATTGTAAATGTACTTCTCAAGTGAAAGGAAAAAGAAATAAGGAAAACATTTTTCTTTTAATTTTATTTGAATATGTCCTTCTGGATATGTTTTTGTGGTTTTATTTATTTCTACCTTCCCTTCTTCCTTCTCCTTTCCTTCCTGCCTTCGCTGACCATATGTATGACCCTCTTTTAATGCAGCCAGAACAATGTCACTAGATGGTTCTTGCTATATACATCAATAAGTTTGAGACTGAAAAAGAAGCCAATCTCCAAGAAAAAATATCAAATTCTAAGTTAAAAGCTGATGCTCAGTATTTCTCAGAATTTCTTAATAATCTGCTGTAGGATTTGACTACTTTCTGTATTCAGAGAGAACATTTTCTTTTCAGGTTAAACACCACCAACTTGAGTTTCCAATTCTTCGAGCTTTTAATGCACGTCTGGTAGATTAAAGGCTCTCCTAAATGCTAGGCATGTTCTGCACAACTAATTACAGCTCTTGTCTGAATCATTTCTTAACCTTGGGCTAACTGTGTCGACTGATACCTTTTGTGTTTCTTTCCAAACAATGTTTTAGTTGATACAAAGTTTTACAGCTCTTCTCCAAAAGACAGAAAAACTAGAAAAATGGTGATCTCACCCATATTAAATTCAGAAGCATTAAGTTCAAGTCCTCCCACTCTACTGAAAGTCTTTTGTTTACTGAATCTAGGGATTCATTTATTCTAGTACTATGACTTCTTTTTTTTTTTTTTTTTTTTTTTTTTTTTTTGCTTAATTAGTCAGACCTGAGTTAGAGAACCTCCCTTTCACAGTTTTTACTGCAGAAAGATTGTTTTGCCATAACTTAATTATTTCAGAGGGAGCAACCAGGCTCTGTTTTGCTTTTTGAGTATATCAGTGCAAATAATTACTGTTGCAGCAAGTAGTCATCCTTTCAAATTCACTGTTGTAGAAACTGAGGAGCTGACATTTTTAAAAAACAGACATTTTACTTTACTCATTTGAGGTGAAGCTTTTAAAGCACTTACTAACTAGCTTACACCTTTTCCTGAAGTCTTTCTTAAATAATGTCTTTTGGAACCTTGACAGATGAAGACCTAAATACCCTGAGAGAGATGAGAGGAAATGTCCTGTCTGAAAATAAGAGGGACACAGGACAACAAAAATAAGCTGCCTGACTTCATGACAGCTGATACACAGACGAGGACAAGCAAGAAGTCACAAGCAGCTTCTCCAACAGGAAACATGAGAAAAGATTACAGACTTCCAAAATAAGTGAGTTGATGGGAGTAAAAAGTGATAAACTAGGGCTGGAGTTCAGGATAGAAATTTACATTGTTTTCAAGAATGTTGAGTGGGAAGGCCATTTCTAAATATGCAAGAGTCGCTATTAACTGCTGTTTTGAATATAGAATTACTTTCTCATTAAAAAAAAAAAAATCACTACAAGTAAACTTGCATCATGATGTTACTTTTACATTGTATATAAATATGTATATAAATAAATATATACATAGATTTCTCTGAAAAACAACAGTTTCAAAGAATTCAATAATGCTATTTGATAGAGCAAATTCTCAGCTACAAAACACTTTTTAAACACAGTCACCACCATTAGCAATTCATTTTCACCAGTGATGAACAAAAGTCTGCATACTGCACTCATAAATATCTGCACCAGTGGAGGCGATCCACTGTTTTATCACTAGAAAAATATCACCCACACAGTCCATCTTTCATCAGCTTGAACAGAAGAAAGTTAGAAGGAGCCAAATCCAGGCTGCATTTTGAACTTTTTCATAGATGGGGAATTCACATTTCATCGCTCCATGAACTGCCATTTTAACTTCAGCTCCTAGTGGTGGCACTATGTCTCGTCATTGGTAATGATACAATCCAGGAAAATGTCACCTTCTGCCTCATATTGTTTCAGTAGGACCTGACAAACTTGCATGAGGTGTTCCTTCTGTTCCTGTGGGATCCAGCCAGCGCAAACTTTTCTATATTCCAATGTTGCCCACCATTGTTCCTATTGCACTAAGACCAATATTCAGCTGTATACACAGTTCCCTGATAGTAATCCACTGATTTTTGCAGATGAGCTGATCGAGATGCTCTTCATTTTGTAGTGTGACAGCTGTTTGTGGTCATCTGAAACATGGCTTTTCTTTCACACCACATTTTAACTGCAGAGAAGCACCACCCAACACTTTCCTGTCCTCACATCCACCTGTTTGGTCTCCATACACTTTCAGCAATTGTCGAATGAATGTCAGTGGGTGCAATTTTTTTCACATGGAGGAAATCTCGTAACTCCCAGGCTATGCAGAAGTTGCATGGCTTGATAAGTTTTATATTCTTCTATTTCTTTTAATATGCAGTTGGTTCAAAATGAATGCTTCCAATTTATTTCCATGGAAACTACAACAGGGACAAAGAGCACAATGACACTAGACCAGACTTTCAATATAGCCGCCACCATTAGATATGCATTTTTGCCAGCAATGGACAACAGAGCCTGCATGCTGCACTCATGAAAATCTGCACCAATAGAGGTGACCCACTGTCACCGTCTCCACTGCTGAAATGCATTACCCACTACCTAACTGAGCTCACATCCACTGTTTGGTGTCTATATTTATAAAAAATGGATGCCATTTTTTTCTGAAGAAGGAATTCAGTACCATTCTTTTACTTCCTACGCACTTCCATGTCAGATGCCCTTTTTGTCAGACTGCCCTTCCACTGCCATTTGTCACACAGCAAACAAATGTAATGGAATATTGGTGGGAAGGTTCAACCTCTATTGCTATGCCACCAAAATCAACCTCTGATGGAGTGAGCTAACATAATAAAATAGAAGGTATTACTTTCAGAGCAACCCTCGCATATATATAAACGTTATCACACAGTAAAGCTCAACATTTTTTTACCTATTTCTCTTACAGTCATTCTCTCAAATACAAGTTTCAGCCCTCGAATGATTTTTGTACTAAAAAGAGTACTGGTCCTAAGGTGGACTCCTGGGGGACTCCACCTGCCATTCACCTCTGCTTGGTCACAGAGCCACTCATCACGTTCTTCTGCCCGTGTCCATCCAAACAATTATTTATCCATGGATTAGTCCAGGCTTCAAATCCATATCCTATTTAGGGACAAGGATGTGGTGGGGGACTATGTCAAAGGCCTTGCACAAGTCCAGGTAGATGTCACCAGTTGTTCATCCTTTGTCCACTGATGTTGTCACTGCAATGTAGAAGACCACCAGATTGGTTGGGCATGATTTGCCCTTGATGAAGTTGTACTGACTGTGTTGTGTCACCTCCTTGTCTTTCGTGTATGTTAATACTGATCTTCTCAGGCACACTGAGGCTCCACCACTTTGGGTCTTCCTTTCTACCTTTCTTAATAATGGGACTGATGTTTCCCTTTTTCCAGTCCCTTTGCCTGGCAGCCATAACTTTTCAAATACAATGGAGAGTGGCTTGACAATCACACCTGACCACTCCTTCAGAACCTTGGGATGCAGGAAAAACATCTCCCACAGAACAACATA